GACATGTCACCTTTTCCTGTCCCTCCTGATTGCCATATTTGCTTTAGAGGGTCAATAGTATGCATGCATTCCACATATAGTCGTTGTCCCTGCAAAGGATAAGGCGTGTGGCGGGCGTGGAAGTGCAGCCAAGACGGTCTTCTCCATCAGTGATACCATTCTGAGTTCGCAACAATTGGCGGGAACGACTGCCTTGGCTGCGCGCCAGTTCACCCTCTGTCATTCAGAGGGATCATGACTGTATTACCGTTTGTTTTCCCTGAACCCCTCACTGCCCAGGTCATTCAGCGCTTCTCTTGGAGGCATAGATAAAAAGAACACGACTATTTCATGGCCCGCTTCCAGTTGTCGCTTACTTTCAACCAGTACTTTTTAAAGAGACGTTAGTGGGTATTTTCAGGTGAGGAATCGTCCTTCAACCTCACCGTTGTGGAAAGTGCTGTATCACAGACAGCGTTTACATTACGGTGGCCGGCTCTCAATACTTCGGATATTGACCATCGAAAGTTCCTCGGATATGATGTGAGTATACATCGTTCAGTTAAACCGGGATTATGAGTTTAGGAAAACAGTACTTAGTACCCTAAAAACTGCGCGTGGAATTAGATGTGTTTCTGTGATCGTACCCAATTAAGCATACCGTAAGTCGGTTTAGTTTCCCAAAGTCATTAGCCTGTGCTATACGCGTTTTGCTCAACCTGGCTAATATAACCGGGGATTGCGAAGTGCTGTGTGCTCTCGCTGCTCCTATATCCTCAGTTTTACGCGCAGTTTGGGTGCTGTATACTGCCTGATTTCTGAACTTGTAATTTGGTTCAGTTAACCGTATGCCCTTTCCTAGAAAACCAAGTAGTCATAAGTATTATGACATCATTGTGACTTATTTGTTTATGAGGCGCCAGAGAGGCAGGTGGTTCATTGCAGAAAAGTCGAATGGCGCCAGAAGCAGGGAGGAATGTGGATGGCGTGATATGAAAGCGGAAAGGCTGTTTTCTATAGGAAACTCATGAGAATCACGTGCTGAAGTTTTGCTGCGCATAATCAATTTCTCGCAGCGATTGTGTGTGTTGTTCGGGGAAAACAACACGTGCGAGCCGAAAATGGAGCGGCTATGATTCGCTAAAGAAGAAAATTCGTAGAAAAGTGAAAATTAATTGTGTTGCAAAGTCGAGCAAAATGATACGGCTGGAGGTCGAAGAAAAGTATGTCAGTCTCCGCTTCACACCCGTTTCACACAATCAGGCGGAAGCAGAACAAAGGCATAGTCCTTTCTCTGTGATCTTCATTAAGGAAAGGGAAGGACATAGAACTCAACGAATTTCATAAGAAACCATGATGAAAATGACATAGGATTATCAAAGTTGAAGTAGCAAATCATTTTGAGTCTGCAGAAGATCTATCCTTAACCATCTGATAGGACTGAACTGTGTAGGGTGTCTGGCTAATATGGTATTACGATGATTTTTTAGGCAGAGGTAGTGTAGCGGAAGAGGCTCCGCTGACGGTCAAATACTGGATCGGCTTCCGCCCGTAACAGCTAACACTTCGGTTCCTCAGGGGATGTTAATTGGTACCAGACCGGGATGTGGAAATCATTGGGATGTGAAATTTCCTGAATACGGTCTCCGTGTGCATGGTCAGTGCGACCAGATACGACCCCTCCTAATATGGATTTCACAATGGTGCTATATACCGTATGAAATTATTTCGACAGTACAGCACGCCATGCATTTATTATGTTTCTATTCGTACATATCTGTTTATTCAGATCATGTACAAGGAAGTAGCGTGGGCGGACCCAAATTTATCGATAGATGATGACAGGTCTTCGTGTCAGGATACAGATTCGTGGTACTACCATTTTGAAGGGGTAGGTACTAAAAACTAGACAACTGAGAGCGAATCTCTTTTTTGTTCCTGATTTCATTTTTGAAGGTGAATGACAACATCGAACGCATCAATGGTACTGGTCCAGAGTACGTCACAGCGATGATTGGAAATAGTCACATCAAGCCACATACTCTGTGAGTTTCGGTTTTCTTCTTTTCCAAAAGAAAATTAAGACTCTGCCATAGGGGGAAAGATTCCCTTTGCAGCATTTGCCGTAATGAAGATGAGAATCCAGGGTGGATCTCCACCAGGAGTCTTTTGAACTCTTTTCCTTGACCAGCTAGCCCTGAAATTCGTTCTGTAAACCCCTTTGCCGAATGGGCTTTGATTTTTCTATTAAAAATTGGATGTCAGTTGAACCCAGCGAATCTTTCAGATTTTGAAGAGTTATTTTTACGTTTTGAATGCATTGAGGCGTAATTTTTCTTCACAGAACACTTAGTCTCATGAAATTCATAATACTAATAATTTGAAATGTCTAGGTATGCTGCATATGTCACGACTAAGATGGTCCGTCACCAGGGGGCTCGGAACGCTGTGTCAAATATCGCATTCGTTCGTACTCGTTTTGCAGTTCCGGACCCACCACGAATCACAAAAGCTGAAGCACTTGGGATTGATGAGATTCTGTGAGCGCATTCATTCTTTCTAGCACATATGCCAATTATTTTAGTGTTTTAAAAAAAGAGCGGGCGTGGCTATGAACTTTGCTGTTGGTCCTTGTTTTGAGGCGATTCATCTTTGCCTCTCGGGATTAAGAAGATTGAACGTCAAATTGCTGTAATCCTTCATGGCTGTTTATTTGTGACCACAGGAAATTCTTGGGAGGGCACATGACTGTATGAGGTTGGGACGATCGTGAAAAGAAAAGATAGTTGAAAGATGCAAATCTCTCGCAGTGAGGTAATCAAGTTGTGCTGGGAGGGTGGAGGGGAGTGTAGCAAGTCTCCTGGGTAGGTCATTCAGCCATAGAGTTTTCTCCGCTCGCCGTGATCGACAAAGTGATGCCAAGGCCTACTACTTACATGAATAAGAAGCTTATAAAGGATTTATATGTCCTTCTCTAGGTCTAGCGGTTGTATGTGCGATCGTGTCGCTACTCACGTGTCATGAGAGGATGTAGGACGTCTTTTCAGTCGCGTAGCTTGTCCGGATCAATAAACCAGTTGATTTTCAGAACAGGAGGCCTTTTGAAGCTATCACCGTTTGTTTTGATACCCGCATCTCACAAAGCACGCTATTCGTTGAGAATCCCCACGAATGGGGTCGTGTTTGGTCGCCATAGAGAGGAGGTCGTGTTTGCTTCCGGAAAATGTTTTCAATCATTAACTGCTCTCGGTTTTCCTGTTTCATGCATGTATCCCTTCTCTCCCTTATCTCCCCTCGCTTAGCGGAGCTTTTTGGAAAAAAATTGGAGATTTTCTATAAAGCTTCGGGGGAGTGGTGGGAAGTTGGGAACGGAAGATGGAAGTTCGCTGGGATGGAGAAGTGGGAAGGTCGTACCAAAAATGGCAGTTTTGAGAGGGGGAGAGTTGCGGGGTCGTGTTTTGCAAAACTTCCCCCCAACGGCACGAAGTGCGCTGATCAGAACTGTAGAGTTTCCCCCAGCGGCACGACCTACGCTGATCTCAACAAAGTCGCCTCCTGTTGATAAACTAGAGGATTTCAGAAGTTTAGTGATTCGGACGAGTTGTCCCGCAGAAATGAAGCGTCCCATGACGTGTCATGACAAGTCAGTGATAATGTGTTCGGGCCATAGGTTATACACCCTTGAGGCTAAGAATGTCTGCGCACGAAAGCCATTGAGCTGAGAGGGTAAGAGCGTCCCTGGTGGTATAAATTGCGCACGAGATGCGGGTTGAAGTCCCGTTTGGAAGTCTTTCTTCTGCCCACCACTCAGCATTCCTTTGAAGATGTCTGTCAGCATTGTGAAAATGTCTTTCATCTCCGAAGTGCAGTTTAGTACGGCACGCAGCACCTGCTACAGTCATGAACACCCTCTGCTAGTCGTTGAAAAGTGCTGGGTTTGGCCAAAGATTAGTGCAGAAACTCGTCAATGTCATCGTTTACTGCAGTGGATGGGTGTTCACGACGACGTTGTTTGTTTTCGCGTCTCTAATCTCTGATTAGATATGTGATTACATAGAACGGCGAGAGACGTGAGAGACATGCGTTCGGCAAAATGCGGCGCTGCAAACAGCGACACTTGTTCTGCTGCCATCGAACGAGGAATTCTTTTGAATGGCGGTGGTATTTGCGAAGCGTCAGCAGCGAAGACTCGCAAAGAGTGATGGCTGGAAAGAGCAATGTGATTCATCAACGCCCCGCAGCGATGATGCGACATATCTACAGGGTGGTCGCACTGGAGAATGATAAAAGCTTCCAGTACTGGGCACGCCACCTATGTCGTGGAGAATTTTGCGAGTTAGCACTCCTCTCAGAACTTCCTCCGTGAGTACGCCCCTTTTTTTATCCCCCACTCAACATCTTCCGAAATATTCCTAAAGACTTGCTGTCAACCGGAGGGGAGAGTGGAAAACTCCTATCAACTATCAAAAATAGTAGCACTGCGGCGATACCTACCTAAAAAAGTACTGCGCGCAGTAATTCATGGTTACGGCATAAAAGCCGTCAAGCTAAGAGCGTAAGAGCGGTTCAGGTCGCGTAGCGGATAGCGCACTCGCCCGGAAAGCGTGAGCTGCGGGTTCGGGTCCCGCCTCGGGTCGAGATATGACCATAACTCAGCATTCTTGAGAGAGCAATTCGTTGTTTAGTAGCATCCCTCCGTCCGGCCATCTGAGTACTACCATTTAGAGCGGAACCCAAAAGTGCAGCTTCACCTACCTTCTTAGCTCTCCTATCATCTGTCGCTTAACAGCTTTTCATAAACATTTTAATTTTTGGGCCAACTTGCAGGGACGAGTGGGCTTAGAGGCTCTATATATGGGCAGCTGGCGCAAACCAAACTTCAGAGACAGAGTCATCCCACTCTTGTCTTAATATAGACTCAACCCTTTATCCGCCGTGTCCATTGTCATTACGAGAATTGGAATGGGATCCACACGGCACAACCAAAAAATGGCGACTATTTCCTCATTTGCTGGTCAGCCTGGCGCTGCGATGAAACGAGATCCAAGTGTATAGTGAAGTCGAACACATGGGAGCTGCAGTCTGCCATGATGGTATGCTTAGGGGAAGGGTGTGCCTGATTTCATATGAGTTCCGGGTTGAATGTTGACGATTTCAGATATAACTCGCAGTCTGGATCTATCAATGGGTCTTTCTGAAGGTCTTCGTGATACTACTACAACACCAGCGCCTCGAGCGTGTCAGTTCTGGAAGCATTGGGCTGAGAGCAAGGTAAGTCGATTCTCGAAAGAAGCCTGACACTTGCCCACGCATGGAAGGTTTGCTGCAACAATGTGCTGCCGAAAGTAAGTTTCTAGCTTGAGGATCTACTTTGACTTAATTTTTGACATACACCAGCAGTTGATACGCCCGGTAGAGCTGGCAGCCAGCGGAAATACCGGTAGATAGCCTACGAAGCTGATAACCTCCAGCACAAGTGTTCCGATTTCAGGCTGTTTCCACCGAAACAGATGAATGGTGTTTGAATCCACCCAACCACGAAACTGGCGATTATGAAGCAACGGGGCTGTTCACAATGTCGTGGTTCGTTCAAAAAGTGAGTTTTCTTTTAATGATGGACGCACCGTCCGCTTTTTTCATCGGCAGAAGCACATTCCCGAGCTCCCATACTTATACGAGGTCTTGACTTATTTAAGTGGGCGCTGTTAGGCGACGGGGAGGGGGGAGGGGCAGTTTGCACTTTCAGTGCTCCGCTAATTCCGGACAAGTCTCACCGTAGTGAACCTGTAACTCTTGTGAACCTGGAGTAAGCTCGTCGAGCTATCATGAGAAAACCTGTCAACTCTTGTAAGCTCATGAAATACCTCTGAATGCTGAACACGTCGATGGGAAGTAGCAAAGGTGCAAAATGCCCCCACCCTTTCCCGTCGCCGAAACGCCATTTATGTGTTCTAGTTTACTGTTCCATTGGCAGTTGACACTTTTCCGTACTTACCATTAGTAGCTTACGCTTGCTGTGATGTCGCTTATTTATAATTGTAGATGCTGTCTGATAGTTTATGTTTTCACCATTCAAAACCAGCTCTGGCAAGAATAGAAGTGTGGCTCAATTTAGCTGTGCGCATAGCCACGATCCGATACGGTGTGGTGGTGGTGGAGATTTAGACGAGGAAGTTGCTCCACTTGAGAATGACATCGAAACAAGCGCATATAGGCGATCTCGCTCGACAAGAACTGTACGACATCATTTCCGACGCTATGGCAACAACGAGCGTTTCCTGTAGGCTTCATAAAGAATTCTGGCTGTGCTGCGTCGTCCTGTCCTCTTCTGTCTTCTTCTACTGTAGTGTAAACTATATTGTGGTCAATTGTACGGTGCTTCGTGGTGTCTGTGTGGTTAAGCTGGACCTAAGAAAGGCCCGGGAAGGGCACTTGTTTCCAATCAACAGCGACGTTCGACTGCGTTCATACTTTGGCGCTCAGCGACTTCGACCGAACGCTAATCAAGGGACCGCTGCAATTGCTACTTCGCTCGCAGCTGCCATGATTTTTTTTCATGCATTCTTGCTGCTTCACTAGCTTTGCATCTTAACTGGTAAATCTTTACCTGATAGTCCTAAGCAAGCACTCCAAAATGTTTCTTTCTAAATGTGCCTGAAGTGGCAGCAGCATCGATCCAATAAT